ATTTTATAGAATTCATGGTTATGAGAGTCCACAAATACATGACTGCCATAATCTTGTAGCCTACCACCCGCCATTACTTTATGTATGTAACACTATTCACCTGGAAAGCTTTCTCTTTACCTGCCGCATTGTTAATCCTTTCGCATTGCAAGAAGTGACTTTATCACTTGATCTTCATTGGAAGCAAATGTTTCCATCTGGTCATGTGATACTCTTATTCTAATCACACTCCATTATCTAACCAAAGTCCATTTTCGGATCATGGGTAAAATGGTGTCCCTTTAAATAGCCTAAGAGTCTATCTTCGAGCTGATGTATATTCAAATTGTCCACCCAGATGAGCCTCACATGATGGAACAGATGTGATTCAGAAGAGTTACACTGGAAAATGCATTTCTGAAAACTAAATAATATTTTCTCCAACTTACATAATTAGTAGTATATTTCCCCTGAAACGATACCCTTAGAAGACAGTATCTGGGAGAATGTCACTGCTAAGCGTGTGTCCAACATTTATTTAGTCCACAAACACTTACTGATCCCTTACAATGGGACAGGGACAGTTGCAGGAGCTGGCAAGAGGGCTGTGAGCCTAGCAGACAAGACGTGGTCTACTGGGGAAGACAAACACTGCAGGAGATCATTTCACAGAGTGGTGAGTGCCCGGAAGGAAAACAGTGATACAATGGCGACACCAGAGGAGGTGCAGGTGGTCAGGGCCGGCCTCTCCCAGGAAATGCTGCATGGACGGTGAGGTCCAGTCGAGAAGGAGACAGCCCTGCATAGATCTGGAGGGAGGACATTTCAGAGGAAGGCCAAGTGATGTGACCGAAGAATAGTGGACTGAGACTGAAGGAAGAGGAAAGTACAAAATCCAGGGCCACAAAAGAACGACTTTGTCCCTGCTCAGCCCTTGCGAGCCCTTGGAAGTTGAGCAAAGTTCCCGGATCCTTTCTAGGTCACGGGGTCTGGAAAATCAGGGGGTGAACCAGATTGCAATCACCTGGGAAACTTACCAAATGCTGACGACTTACTTCATCGGTCTAGGGGGCAGCCTTGGGCGTGGAGACTTTGAACAATCCCCGGGTGATTCTAACGCACACAGCAAGCAGCTTGAGAGCCCTGAACTGGGTTACCTGTGAAGTTCTGTCCCACTCCTACCACCTGCGGGTTTAGGGCTGACCCTGTCATTATGTTAAGTGACCTCAGCCAGCCCGGCCTTTCTGGGCCTCAGTGTCTCCAGCTGCTGGATGTGGGGAATTGACCTGGATTTATCTATCCTCTTTCGCATTATCGTTATGCTATGACATGGTTAGATTGTTTGCTTATTTAACCAAAGGGCTGAAATCCCATCTTGGGCCAGTCATCCTTTTCCCAGTCTGAGGAGGTAATGTGATATTCCCTGCAGGGTTTCTTTCTGTCTCTTAGCCTCTCCAAAGCAAATGGACTTTTCCATCCCTTTCAACTGTAGCACAAAAAGAGGACTACAGCCATTATAGGCATTTCCTTTATAAGCAGAGGCAAACAATAAGTAGCTCTCAGCTTGCTATCCAGGTAAACTCAAGACAAATTTAGAAACATCAAACTTGGACCCATCATTTGACAAAACAGAGTGAGAATGTTTGTGTTGTTCCTGGATGATTTCATTTCCCCCATCCTTTTTTAAATTCTGTAAGATCTAATCCAAAAAGATAGGTAGTGTTTGCAAAGGCCAAAGCTCACTAAAGGGCTTAACTCCTTTAATGACCGAGGCCGCTGAATTCCAGCTCAAGCAGATTAGCCAAGTTAAGTCTTTGGCATTAGGGTCTCTCTCCTCTAACACCCAGGCGTGCTGAGAAGCTGTCAGCCCTCCTTCTCACAAATCCTCACTAAACTCCCAATAATAGCAACTTAATCTATGAAGAAGGCAACAAAGGAAGAGATCTAAGTACAGCCTGTGCTGCTGAGCCGTCCTCTAGAAATAGAATGTGATCCACATGGGTAATTTTAAACTCTCTAGTAGCCATATTAAACCAGTAAAAAGAAAGAGATGGCATTAACTTGAATTAATATTTTATTTTACCCCATAATATTATTTCACCACATGATCGATATAAAAACTTTATTAACAACATGTTTTACATTATCTTTTTCTTAGCAAATCTTCAAACTCCCATGTGTATTTTATAGCACATCACAGTTCAACCTAGATATATTTCAAGTGTCAGCAGGCCAAATGGGGTTAGTCACCGGGGCCTCAGAGGATCCTGTTTGTTTTTGCAGTGCTGGCTGCAGGAGGGGAAATAGAGCAGGTTGGTGTAGCAGAGAGGGGTGGGACCCAATAACATTTCTTTAAACAAATATGAAGCAGTGTGATCCTACCTAGGAAAACATGTTGGCAAAGTTCTTTCTTTGTTAAAGAGGTGGTGCGGTGAGCTGGAATGGAAAATAGGCTCTGGCGTCAAATAGATTTAGGTTCAAATCTTGCTTGTTTAAGTCACAAGATTTTAGGCCAGCTGCATACGTTTCCTCACCTGTAAAATGGCAAAAACTTCTCTTCATCTTACTCATATGAGAACTAAATGGGGAAACATTCAAAACGTTCAGTGGAGCACTGATCACGGGCTTGTCACTGAGGAAATACAGGCATCCTTTCGGATGTGTGTGTCCCTGCATATGGCAGGTAACCAGCAAAGGTTTGTTGAGTTCATTATAAACTTGTGGCATAAACCAAAGCAGCAGTTACAGACCTGACTCTTATTAATAGACCTTCAAGGGCCTTAAACCATATGTGTTGAAATAAATCCTAAGGCTGTAAATTTCTGTGTGTTTTCCTCTACCTTTTCCGACTTTTACACAGGAACTGCTATTTGGAGCAAGTTGCCACATCAATTGTTAACATGGCTCCAAGATTTAGTGAAAACTTTAATTTTTCTTGAACTAAATTTTACTTTAACATTCTTTGAGATGAGTTGTCTTTATTAAAACAGAAGACTGTCATTTTCTTTTCTCTCAGACTTCCATTGTTTGATGAAAATCAACCTTCCTTCATTCTCTGCTTTGGAAAAGTCCCCTCCCTGATAAGGACGAGCCCCAGTGTACATGAAACCAAGCAGAACCCTGCAGGGCCTTCCCGGGTACAAAAATCCCTCTGTGTCCCCCATTTGTTGTTTGTAGAGAAAAGGCTTTAGTCTCCTAGGCCGTCTTGAGTTCCAAAGAGCAGATTCAAGCAGTTAATGATTAGAACAATAGAGTCACAGGACTCCTAGTTCCTCCTGGAGGGATATAGATAACAATCTGATGCTTATCTTTGAGCTGTTCTGCAGAAACTAAGACCCCCCACCTGGTGTAGGGTGATGACCAGCACTGACCACCAGCATATAGACCCCAGACTGGTTGGAAGCATAAGGCTGATTGAGATTCCTGAAACTTTGCCCTATTACCTCACCTCCAGCCAATCAGAAGGTCCATAACTGATCAGGCATCCTACAACACTCTCCCCTAATACTGTCTTTGAAAACCCTTGCCTAAAAGCCAGTAGGGAATGCAAGGTTTTTGAGCATGAGCTGCCCTTGCTTGGCACCCTGTAAATAAACCCTTACTTTGCTGCAAACATGCACTGTCAGAGTTTTGCTTTCTGTACCATGGGCACATGAGCCCTTGCCTGGTAACACAGGGTCCTGTGAATCTTTCTGCCTGCCTTCTCAAGAAGAGTATGGACTGAGAATGGAAAGACGTGAAGAAAAAGATCAAAGACAGAGCTGGCAGTGTCCGTAAATCAACAGGTCACTACTTTCAAAATCTATATGATGTTAGACACTTTTTAACTTTCAAAAAGACAAAAAATAACTAACTTAAAAACAGTTTGGGGTTGATAGTGGAGGATGCCACACATGAATGGAGGGCAGGGGACATGGGAACTCTCTGTACTTGCTGCTCAATTTTGCTGTGAGTCTAAAACTGCTCTAAAAATAGTCTATGTAAAAGGGGAAAAAAAGTTTTGGTTCAGGTAAAGAAGGCAAATTATAAACACAGAATAATACAATGGCCACTATGTTAGTGTGTGCAATTTAGTTCCTTTTTTCTTTTCTTTTTTCTTTTTTTTTTTAGCTATAATGAGACCTAGTAAGAAAGGGGTTTCCAAGAAATCCAGCTGCTTAAACTAAATGGACATAGAAGGAAAGCTCAAATTAAGAATTGCAATTAGCAAGTCAATAACATTTGGATGTCAGACTTAGAGTGGACAGAACCAAAAACAGGCACAAGTTCTTGTGTGTGTGTGTGTGTGTGTGTGTGTGTGTGTGTGTGTCTTTGTCTATGCAAACCAATCTGCGTATGATTTCCAATGGATTCTAATATTATGTATCTAATAAGACTGAAAAGACACCAGAGTTAAACTTGTACTAGTGTCCTAGTTTAGGTTCCATCAAAGCAGACCCTGAGACAACTCAGGTCAAGTTTTAGGGGGAGGTGACCTCAGTAAGTGCTAGTGAAGGAGCAGGAAAGTGAGAAGGGGTAGAGACAAAGCCCAATAAATAAATGGTACATAAATGAGCAGCCTTCCCCTCCAGGCATCTGGGGCTCAGTCTCCCTAGGGACCCTCTGAGGAGCCACATAGAAGCTTCTCAGAATGGCCTCCCCAAGAGGGGAAGATGAGCTCTTTATCCACAGACTCTGTTCCCTCATTGGCAGAGTGCTGCCTGAGGTTATTAAGTTCCTGAGTCTTCCAGGCTTCCTTGATCTACACAAATAGAACAGACACCAAAAATCTTTTGAATTAGAAAAAAATTCCGGACAGAAAAGCAGAGGGTGCCTGCTCTTCTTTTATTTTAATTTTTTATTTTTATTGAGGTAACACTGATTTATAACATTATATAAGTTTCAGGTGTACAACTAATTCAGAAAGATATGTGCACCCCTATGTTCTCACAGCGTGACTTACAATTGCCAAGATATGAAAACAACTTAATTGCCCATCAACAGAGGAATGGATAAAGAAGATGTAGTGTATGTGCACAATGGAATATCAGCCATAAAAAATGTTCCCACTCCTTGAGCTAGGAACTCCGAGAGGGGGGCAGAGGAGACTGGAAGGGGACGGGCTGGGAGGGAGAAGAAAGTTGGTCTCTAGCCGCTCTGTTTAGAAAAAAACTTATCAATAGACGCATTTTGTTAATTCATAATGTTGTCCTGACATTTTCGTTGTAGTTTGGTTCCTTCCTCCCTCCCTCCCTCCTTTCCTTCCTTCCTTCCTTTTCTTCTTTTCTTCCTTTTTTGAAGTTAAAAAAAAAAAAACTGCTTAAGCTTTGTCAGTCCCTCACACTTCCCCTGGAAGGGAGCCTGTGCATCTAAACTGGCTCACCACCACCTGGTGGCAGCTCCTGGGATTGCAGGCAAAGAGCTTTGGTCAATGACACCCTGGGTATAATCAATTTCAATCCGATTTATTTCCTTGGAGAAAAAGGCCACTGAAACGTAAAATGAAAATAAAGATGTTACGGGATGATACTCTGTGTAGTTCCGGGGATTCTTCTATCCTTTTAATAGACTTGGTCTTCTAATACGTATAGTGATACCACACGGGAAGGTAAAAGAATTGAATAATTGCCACATGTTTAAAAAAATAATCGCATATCAATGAAGATTAATTTTGATGACACTGAAGTGATGCTGCTGAAGTGAAATGAAATATTTCATGAATTCAGAGCAAATGCCACAACAGCACATATGATATTAACCAGTGAGAATATTGAAAAAGATTTTTCCTTTATTATGGGATTTCTTGAAGCTTTTACACTGTGGATGTTACTGGGAATTTCCACAAAGAGGTTTTAGTTTGCAGCTTTCCAACAATGAACAGTGGTATCAGTCTACAACTCCTTAAACCAGTGTTTTTTATATCACTATTTGGAAATACCTGCCCTACAGAATGCCCAAAATACATTTGAAGCAAATACTTTCTTTCCTTTATATAAAGATAAAAAAGATTTAAATTTTAAAATGTGCATTCAATCTTATTTCTGCTTTTATTTTTAAGAAAGTAATTTTTAAAGTAAATAAAGAACACATTTACTCAAATTTTACCATTGTTCTACATGTTTTATTTTTCATTCTTAATGATTTTTAGAAAGCAGTCTATTTAGAAAAATAAACAGCTGATAAACAGTTTTGATACAGCTTCTTCACTCAAGTTTAATGAGCACTTTTTATCTCACCAAATCTTAGTATCTAATTATTTCTACATAATCTAAGCACCTCATTTTGGATTTGAAAAGAGAAGGATAACTGAAGTTCTATTTCTTAAAAACAGTGGAATATAGACTTAGCCATGTCCTCCCTTCTTTAATATCAGAGACTTCCGGGGGAAAGGTTTGGGACATAGGATAGCTGGTGACATAGATTGCATCCCCATTTACATATGTGAAAAGAGACATAAATGAATTTGTGCTTCTCACCTTCATCCATCGATTTTTTAAATTAGCAAAACAAGTTTTTTTAAAAAATAAATAAATTAGACCTCTGAACTTCACACTTAAGAATAGTTAAAATGGAAATTTTTGTTATGTATATTTTACCACAATAAAAAGTTTAAAGGAGGGTGATGAGGAGAGAAAAAAAATTTTTTTAAAGAAGATGTTGGGGGTAGGAGTTTATTAATTAATTAATTTATTTTTGCTGTGTTGGGTCTTCGTTTCTGTGCGAGGGCCTTGTCTAGTTGCGGCAAGCGGGGGCCACTCTTCATCGTGGTGCACGGGCCTCTCACTATCGCGGCATCTCTTGTTGCGGAGCACAGGCTCCAGACGCGCAGGCTCAGTAGTTGTGGCTCACGGGCCTAGTTGCTCCGCGGCATGTGGGATCCTCCCAGACCAGGGCTCAAACCCGTGTCCCCTGCATTAGCAGGCAGACTCTCAACCACTGTGCTACCAGGGAAGACCAGGACAGAAATTTTTAAACATTTAATAAGTCACTAGAAGCTATAAACTATCCAAATGTATCAAATTCCCTTTACTATTGAAATACTAACATCTTAAAGGGGTTCCCTTTTCCCTCTTTCCTCAGAGAAGGATGTTCTAATAATTTCTTAGGCCAAATCAGGACTGTCAAATTACTAGATTCCTGGTAGACAAGTACTTTGTAAACATGCTGACTAGTATTTCAGTCTATCTATCATGCCTTGAGTATTCACTTTTAAAATGCCAAGAGTTTCTTAATCATTCTGTCAATTACGGATCCAGGGGAATGAAGCTTGGTTTGACGTCTGTGTATAAAAGCAAGTCCACTGATAGAGCAATAACTTATTTTAATGTCCAAAATCCATGGCCATGAGTTTGACTAATTTATCACATTGGCTGGAGAAAATGAAAGTCCTGTTTCAGGAAATATCCAGCCTGGCCTAATTTCCCTGTGGAGATGGGAGCTGGGAGCTGGGAGCTGGGAGCTGGGAGAATCTGCTTGATACAATGCACTAGTGTTGCGCTAGGGAAATTCAAAGGCCCAGAGGTTACCTAGAGGTACAGAAAGAGAACTCAAGGAGCCCAGTTCAGATACACTGAATGGCCTACATCTAACATCACTAAGATATCCTTAATGATCCAGAAAGAAAGTACCAGAGTTGAAGATCAAACTAAACCCTGGAGACCTTTTGTTTCAGTCTTTCAGGTAGCTACTTAACTGTCTGAATAATAGTCATTATTATTAACCATTGTTTTTTTTTAAAAAAAGGGAAACTTTCCACCAATCCTCAGCATACACATTGAGATTTGCATGGCCCTAAGCTAACTGGAGCTTAAACAGCCCCTGTGGTTTCCCTCTGAGCCCTGGTCCTGCTTTTGAGCAATGACCAATTGCAAAGAGGAGTTTGCTGTGCACCTCAGGAGCCATCAGACTTTTACTCTGTATGTGTTTGATGTACTTCCTTTTCAACACATATCTCCCCCTTTCAATTTCTATTCAGAAATACCTACTGATTTTGCATTTGAGTGATGCAGCTCTTCTTGTCAAGCAAACCAATAAATTCAACTTTGTTTCAGACTGCTGTATGGCCATCTTTCTTTCTTTCTTTCTACACCATAAAATATTAAGATACCTAATAGGAAATCAAAGACCAATTATTGCAAACATTTTAGGGGCACTTATACCAGGGACTGAGAATCCATATACCCTCAGGGGCCAGGTCAGTAATACAGACAAGAGAAGGGGCTGGAGCAATACCAAGAGGATGAAAACTGGTCAGAATGTAGCTCTTCTAAAGCAGAAACTGATTCTCAGCTCCAGGAATTGTGGATTCCTGGCAATGTGACAATGCTAGTTTACTGTTGAACCATCTTCTAATTCTTTTAGAAAAGTTATAAATTTATTTATTTATTTATTTTTTGCGCTACACGGGCCTCTCACTGTTGTGGCCTCTCCCGTTGCAGAGCACAGGCTCCGGACGCGCAGGCTCAGCGGCCATGGCTCACGGGCCCAGCCACTCCGTGGCACGTGGGATCTTCCCGGACCGGGGCACGAACCCGCGCCCCCTGCATCGGCAGGCAGACTCTCAACCACTGCGCCACCAGGGAAGCCCCTAAATTTATATTTTAATGTGAACATTCTAATGTTTAAAAGAGTTAAATAAAACATAGCCACAGGCCAAGTAAGGAGTGTGGACTGCCGGTCTGTGACTTCAGGATGAGAATATTTTAGACATTGTGTTGAGCCGTGGTGCTAATAAAAGAGCCTGCAGTCTAGAAAGGAAACAGATATGTGGGTATTGAGGTATTAGGTAAAATGCTATAATCAAAAGGTTCAAGGTTGACAAGGGGCACAGAGAGACTAGGAAACCTCCTAAGATCTAACTCGGTTTCATATCGCCTTTGCAATATGTATCAGACTGTTTATTAGGAATTTGAATGTGTGCAGGCCACGTCTCAGGTCTACAATGTTAGTACAGGAATCCAGGGTCCCAGTAAAGTAAGCCTGTTTCCTATTATGAGAACATTCATCTTAGTAGCTGGCTGTTGACCTCCCCCCTCCCCCCTCCCCGAGCCCAAGAAAGTAGTCTTGACTAAAGATACACACAGCGTTTATCTACCAGTGGTGACTTTGCTACCCAGAGAACGTCTGGCAATGTCCGGAGACGTTTTTGGTTGCCGCGACTGGTGGAAGGGGGAAGATGCTACCGGCATCTAGTGGTTAGTGGCCAGGGACCCTGCTAACCATCCTCAATGCACAGGGCAGCCCCACCAACAAAGAATTCTCTGGCCTAAAATGTCAAAAGTGCTGAGGGTGAGAAACCTTGGCCTCGAGTTTATAATCATATATCCTGCAGCAAATATTCGATATTTCATTTCTATCTGCTTTGATATACTGTGGACGAAAATATGTTAGCTGCCATGTCAGTAAACGAAGGATATTGCAGCCATCTAGACACCAGCTACTGCAGCTGACCGCAATGGTGCACCACGAGGGGATTCAGGACGGAGAAAAGCAGGACACTGACCCCAGATAGTTAAGGTGCATATCAAAAGAATGATTTCAATGACTCTTGCATTTTCCCATAGAAACCCACTAAAGTCATTAACTTGAGATATCTGGTTTTCTTTAATTAACAGTCATTTTTTGATGTTCCCACCTCCAGGTTTTTTTAGCAAGAACTCCTCTATATCCTGGTTCCTCCCTTTACATCTTCAAAGCAGTCCCTCAGAGCTAATCAGGGAGGCTGCCTCCTGGGCTCAAGTCCTCAGCAAGTCCGCCAAATAAAACATAAGTCTCAACTTTTAGGTTGTGTTTTTTTCTGTTTTTGTTTTTTTCAGTCAACAATACCATGGCTGAGAATTTTTTTCTCTCTCTCCTTCCTCCAGCATTGCCCAGCCTAGCTGGGTCTTCTCTCTCTATTATGCAGAGAAATTCTGCCTGCCTCTTGTTTCTACTCCCAAACTGGCACATATAAAACCAATTCACAGCTCAACTAAACAAACAGCTTCCTGTTAACAGGATCCAGGCTCCACAAAAGGCCGTTGACTATTATTATTGTGATTTCTACTTAATCATATCCTTGGGATCCCACCTTCCTAACCCAAGTTGCTTATCAAAATATTTCTTTCCAATAAATAAAGTGCTTTCCCAAGAGGAATCTGATGAATGAAGTTTGCTTTAAATTTTTACTCGCCATTTCAACAGATTGTTGTGAACTTTGAAGTGATATTTAACACAAAATCTAGCTCATTCTTGTGCACCTTTGTCACAAATTGTATGAAATTCTGATTGTATCAAGGTGTAGGGATTTTTAATACATAAAATATATGTAAGAATTGAAACAACTCATGCGACTACACATCAGATTAAAGCTAACAAGCGTGCTGTTTTTTCCTGTGTCCCAAAACAATGCGGAGTGTTGTGAAGCTGGCCTAGTTTTTCTCACTGCTCTTTGTCAATTTTTGACTAAATGGAGGTTGTGTTAAAGGAGATGTGGGGAGAAAAGAGAAAC